GTGCTGTGGCATCACAGCTCACAGCAACCTCCAACTCCTGGGCTCAAGTGAGTCTCCTGCCTCCGCTTCCCAAGGAGCTGGGACCACAGGCGCCAGCCACAACGCCAAGCTATTTTTTTTGGTTGCAGCCATCATTGTTGTTTGGCGGGCTGGGGCTGGATTTGAACCCACCACCTTAGGTGTATGTGGCTGGCGCCTTAGCCACTTGAGCCACAGGTGTGGAGCCATTGCTGTGAGTTTTGATGCCATGGCTCGCTACTAAGTGTGACAAAGTGAGACTCTGTCTCAAAAAGTAAAAAAAAAGGAGAGGACTAATTAAAATTTGGGTGCAAAGGGAGGTGAGGCCTTTGGAGTAGGAAGAACACTGGAAATCTTATAAATGGCATTTTTATTGGGAAGACCATGCAATATCTGAACCTAGGTTAGTTAACAGGTTAATGACAGGTAGAATGCAGGCACTTTGAAGTCAGAGACAGAAAAAACAAACAGGGCAGCGCCTGTGGCTCAGTGGGCAGGGTGCCAGCCCCATATGCCGAGGGTGGCGGGTTCAAACCTGGCCCCAGCCAAACTACAAAAACAAAAGGGCATTGTCGTGGGCGCCTGTAGTCCCAGCTACTTGGGGGGGGGGGGCTGGGGCAAGAGAATCGCCTAAGCCCAGGAGTTGGAGGTTGCTGTGAGCTGTGACGCCACAGCACTCTATCAAGGGTGACAAAAAACAAACAAACAAAAAAACCAGATTCAGCGTTCAGACAGGAGATGAACAGAGATGTCGGGGGAGGAGTCACCTTCAAAGTGAGACTCCGTATGAGTGCACATATATCAAAGTATTCTGAAAACTGCAACCTGCAGTAACACACTCCTTGTTACAGAAAAGTGGTCACTAAAGGATGAATTGGTGAAAAGAGAAGAGAGGCAGGATTTCACCATGACAAGAAAGAAGAGGCCAAGAAGACTTGGTGGCTGAGTGGGGTATTGGGGGTGAACAGAGGGTGGTGGAAACAGAGCTGAGACCTGAGGGTGTCAGAGAAGGTCTAATCAGTAACACTGGTCAAGGCAATTTGGATTGAGCAGTAGTGCTGGACTTAAGGGACAGAAACAGGGAGAGAAAGGGGAGGAAGATGGAATTATACCTTTTGGGTGGGTTTGGTGTTTGGGGTTATAAAAGGATGAAAAAGATCCGGGAGGAAGTAGCCAGGAGAGCAACCAAATCTCAGGTAATGGTTTCAGGTAGACTGAGCAGGTTTGAATGCAGGGAGACAGGAGCCCAGAGGAGATAAGAGCAAAGGAACTTGGAGACAAATTTCTGTGATCCCATAACACACTCTTTCCCTCATCTCCATGATTTCAGCTGGGAGGTGGGACACTCTGCATGTTTTATGTGGTTTTACATGGTTGGTCCTCAGTCTTTCTATACAAAGCTTTGGGGAGCTTGCAGGGAACCCACTGTGGGCAGTGTCCATGGACAGACCCCAGGGCCCCAGAGGGCACCCTTGCAGCTCACTGCTTTCACATCTAGCATGTTCCTGAGATGTGAGGCTGTCTCCTGGGAGCCACCTGCACGGTGATTAGTATTGGATCCAGCTCCTGCTTGCCTTGTTGTGGAGCCAAATGGGGAGAAAGTGCCACAAGAGTGGAAAGAGCCTAAACTCTGGAGTCATTCCCTGGCCTTTGCCTCCTGTTAGGCCAGTGCTTTTGTGTGAGTGATCTGACCTCTCTTAAGTCTCAACTCCTCATTTGTAAAATAGGGATAATATTGGCAATAGCTACCCATCCAGCTGTCATTAGGATTGTATGAAATTGTGGAGATAGCAGTGCTTTGTAAACTGCAGGGTACTTTATAGGTGCCAACCATTACCATCCTTTAAATGGTGAAAATTTCAGAGAAATGAAAATCAAAACCACTTTGAGATATCATCCAACTCCAGTAAGATTAGCGTATATAACAATATCCTAAAACTATATAAATGTTGGCGTGGATGCACAGAGAAGGGAACACTTTTACCCTGCTGGTGGGAATGCAAGCTAACACGGCAGTTTTGGAAAGAAGTTTGGAGAATACTCAACGAACTGAAAGTAGACCTCTGTTTGATCCTGTAGTTCCTCTACTAGGTAGATACCCAGATGATCAAAAATCATTTTACAACAAAGAGATCTGTACCAGAATGTTTATCACAGCCCAATTTATAATAGCCATGACATGGAAATAGCCCAAGTGCCTATAGACCCATGAATGGACTAACAAATTGTGGTATATGTACACCATGGAATACTATGCAGCCATAAAAAGATGGAGACTTCACATCTTTTATGTTTACTTGGATAGAGCTGGAACATAGTCTTCCTAGTAAAATAACTCAAGAATGGCAAAAAAGTATCCAATGTACTCAATACTACTATGAAATCAATATACAATCACCCACACATTCATACAAATGGTAAAACATAACTATAGTCCAGAAAAAAGAAGGGAAGATGAGGGAGAGGGAAAGGGAGGGTATTTGGTGGGATCTCACCTAATGTGCATAATGCAGTGGTACATTTCAGAACTATTAACGATAGAGTATAAATGTCTTAACACAACAAATAAGTAAGCAAGGTGATGGTTATGTTAATCAATTCAATGTAAGCATTTTATATTGTTTATCAATTTAGCACATTGCACCTCGTAAATGCATTAATGTACACAGTTATGATTTAATAAAAAAAAAAGCAGATTCACTCCCCCCAAAATAAATATAAATAAAAAATAAAATAAATTTAGTCAAAAAAAATGGAGAAAACTGCATTTGTTACCACCTTGCAAAGTAAAGCTTTACACTTTATTTGGTTTGGGTATGAATAAATGGGGAAAAATGTGAAAAATAACAAAGTTCTAAGATTTTTCTCCAAACTATCAATACTCTCAGAGAGGAAACTGGGTTGGTTGGGACTGTTTCCCCAGGGGCCCTGGAGCCCCCAGGGGCCTGACCTGCAAATGCCCTGCTGCCCAGCTAGGGAACAGCCAGATGGCTGAGGCTAAGTACCTCCCTGTGCAAACATCCCTTACTCAGCCAAGTCAACAGGCCTCCCTGGGTCAAGAGGCTCCTCCACACTGCTTCTGTGTGGTAAAGACCAGAAACCAGGGGGCTGAGACACAGGGATCTGGACTTTGGTTATGTTTTTAATCTGGGCCTGGAGCAGCATGGTCATCTGTTTTGGCTCCTTCTCTCTTTATGTAAACAGGGCTGGTGGGACCCTGTAGTTTGGGTACAGCCAGGCCCTGCTCTCAACCCCTCCTCATGTAAACACATTACAAAGAATCTTTGTAACTGTCCAGGGGAAGAGAGCAGTGTTGGGAGGGATGAGAGTGGGGGCAGGGTGGATGGGAGAGGGGAATAGGAGTGGTGCCTACCAATACCTCCTGTACCATGCAGTGTAGAGAGAAGGTCAGCTCTGCCCAGTGTCTCACCATGAAAGGAGAGGGTCCATCACCTGCAGCAGAAGCCAAGGTGGGGGTGGGTATTAAAGAACGGGAAGAGTCTGGGTGCAGTGGCTCATGCCTGTAATCTCAGCACTTTGGGAGGCCAAGGTGGGAGGATTGCTTAAGGTCAGGAGTTCAAAACTAGCCTGGGCAATATAGTGAGAGGGTATTTGGTGGGACCTCACCTAATGTGCATAATGCAATGGTACATTTCAGAACTATTAACCATAGAGTATAAATGTCTTACCACAACAGTATCTCCATTTAAAAAAAAATTAGGTTGGGGAAGTGGTGCACACTTATAGTCCCAGCTGCTTGGGAAGTTGAGGTGGGAGAATCACTTGAGTCCAGAAGTTCCAGCCTACAGTGAGCAATAATGATACCCTGCCCTCTAGCCAGGGTGACAGAGTGACACCCTGTTTCTCGAAATAGATAAATCAATAAATAAAAATTTGAAAAAGAGAAAAGAAGAGAATCTTCATCCCCTAATATTCCACAGCCTTGGTACTTTCCCTACCTTAGCATTTTAAATGTAGTAAAAACAAAAAGAGTTAAGTTCTCTTACCTGGCCCCATTGTGTAATGGTTAGCACTCTGGACTTTGAATTAAGGTCTCTTCTCTTCATACAGTACAGGGTAGAAAAAAGAATATTAGGTGAAGAGTTGAGAAAACAAATTGTATTCCTATTCCCACCCCTAATGAACTGTGTGTCTTTTGGATGGTACCTTAGCTTCTCTGAGTTTTCTTGTCTAGATGTTAGAATGATGATATCTGCCATTTACTGAGCACACTTTGTACCCTGATGTGACACAGACCTTTTTTATGTCTTCCTTTTTTTTTTTGAGGTAGGGTCTAGCTCTATTGGGTCTGGGCTAGAGTGCCATGGCCTCCGCCTAGCTCACAGCAAACTCAAACTCCAGGGTTCAAGTGATTCTCCTGCCCAACCTCCCGAATGGCTGAAAATACAGGTGCCTACCACAAGTCCCCACTAATTTTTCTATTTTTGATAGAGATGGTGATCTTGATTTACCCAGGTTGGTCTTGAATTTCTGAACTCAAGGGATGCTCCTGCCTTGGCCTTCCAGAGTCTGTAGCTACAAGAGTTCCTGGTTATTTCTCTCTCCCTTACAGGCGTGACCCAATGTACCTGGCCTATATGTCATTTTATTAATCCACAAAAATGCTCAATGAGATAGGGATGATTTTAGAGGTAATGATGATTTTTAGATGATTTTTTGACTTACCCCCAAATACACGTTTGTAAGTGGCAAAAGCAGCTCTTTTCTATTCCAAACCCTCATTCTGCCCCTGCAACTAAGATAGGTGGTATTTCTTTCCTAGATGATTTGAAAGCAGAGACTAGACAGGAACCAGTCTATTTAAAGCAGTTTTTATTGCTCAGAGACAAAGATTCTGATTTTGATATGCCCAGGGCCTGGAGTCAGAGCCATCATCTTTCCCAGCTGTCTCCTCCCACTGTACTCATTTATCACCTTAGTTAAAATCCAGGGAAAGGGAACAATGAACAGCTTGTTCTACTGGGGTAGAGCTTGGCAGGAACTCCTGGAATTGCTGTTACCACCTTTTCTATTCCAAGGTAATTTGTAAATGTCTATGTTTCCATGGCACTGCTAGGAGGCTGCAGGAGGGAGAAATAACCAGGAACTCTTGTAACTACAGACAAAAATTAGTGCTGGGGGCTTTTCTGGGAAGATTAAGAAGGCTCGAAAGCTTTTGACAATAAACTCTCCAAAATGATTTTCAAAGACAGTTGGCAAACTTCCTTTTCTGGGCCAAATGAAGCTCCTTACATGTTTCTGTACAGCCAGTGATTTAAGAATTTCTTTAAATAGTTGGAAAAAATATAGACAAATAATTGTTCACAATATGTGAAAATTGTGTGATATTCAAATGCCAGTGTCCACCAACCAAGTTTTTTGGAACACAGCCATGCTCCTTCATTTTCTTTTTTCTTTTTTTTTTTTTTGAGACAGTGTCTCAAGCTGTCCCCCTGGGCAGAGTGCCGTGGCATTACAGCTCACAGCAACCTCCAACTCCTGGGCTCAAGCGAGTCTCCTGCCTCCGCCTCCCAAGTAGCTGGGACCACAGGCGCCCGCCACAACGCCCGGCTATTTTTTGGTTGCAGCCGTCATTGTTGTTTGGCGGGTCCAGGCTGGGGATTCGAACCCGCCACCTTAGGTGTACGTGGCTGGCGCCTTAGCCGGTTGAGCTATAGGCGCCGAGCCGCTCCTTCATTTTCATATTGTCTCTGGTTGCTTTTGTGCTGCAAGGGCAGAGTTATGTAGTTGGGACATCAACCTTGTGGCCTAACAGGCCTCAAGTCACCACTGTTTGGCAATTAACAGAAAAACCATTTCCTGTTCTAGATAAAAGCCACCACCTGGGCAGTGGTACAGGAGGGGCTCTCCACTCAGGAGGTAAGTATGTTTTTAAGTCCCTTGTTTTCTGCACACCTACACCACCCTCAAATGTGCCTGGGGTCCCGTAGTCCTGCTGGGTCTGGTTGATGGTCAAGAGGTGTGGGATCTCAGATCCACTGTGGTTGGGCAGTCTTGATCTTCCCCTCCCACCTTCAAGGATCAAGACTATTCCTTTGAGCTGCCAGAGTGGGAGTTGTGCTTGGACGCCTCAGGAAGGAGACTGGAGGATTTTCCACTGGAGAAACTGACTAAGAGACAAGATCTGAAGACAGATACTGACAGCTGGGTCCATTTCCTACCAGATCTTCTAGGTCTTAAGAGAAGCTGATGGTGGACAAAGCCTGCCCACACCCAAAGCCTTCCAGTCAGCTTCCTAGAGCCCCACAGAACATGTGAATGGAAAGCCATGCTGTTTGAGGAAAGCTCCTATCTATGTATAGGATTTGGGGAATGATCAAGGAAGAGACAGCACCACACATAGCAGAACTGTACAACAAGCTTTACTGGGCTGAGCTGGGACAGGAGTGAAAGAAAGGGTATTCTCTTGGCAGGAGACCTCATAGAGACAGCTGGAGCACTGGTCAGTCCCCACAAGGGGAGAAGGGCAAGAAAACGCTCTAGGAGAGAAGAATTGGAGGGGAGGCTTATGTGTCCAGCAGCCAGGTGGGGAGTCTCTGTGTCAGAGAACACAGGAGCATAGCAGTAACTGGGGGATCTTTGATAGCCCTACAGTTTGTCTTACCTGTGGTTAGAAGATGTTGGATGTCTTTTTGCAGAATGTGAAAGCTGGCAGGCTCAACATGACTGAAAATATGCTTATCTGGGCTTATTAAAGCAAATGGTTGTGTAAGAATTTGAGCTTAGCACTGGCTGGTGGGCTGTGAGCTAAGCCTGATTTGAAGAAAACAACACAGGGTCCATCTTTGGGCAGTTTATATAACAGCAGGCCACAACAAGAGGAAAGCCAGGAAACCATGGAGAAGAAAAAAAAAATAACAAAACCACCACAGTTAATGTCTTCTGAGGTATAAGAAGAAATTGCAGAAGGCAAAATGAACATTCAGAACACAAAAGAAACATCTTGGGGCGCCTGTAGCTCAGTGAGTAGGGCACCAGCCGCATACACCAAGGCTGGCGAGTTCGAGCCCAGCCCAGGCCCACTAAACAACAATGACAACTACAACCAAAAAATAGCCAGGTGTTGTGGCTGGTGCCTGTAGTCCCAGGTATTTGGAAGGCTGAGGCAAGAGAATCGCTTAAGCCCAAGAGTTTGAGGTTGCTGTGAGCTGCAATGCCATGGCACTCTACCAAGGGCAGCATAGTGAGACCCTGTCTCAAAAAAGAAAAAAAAATGTTGGGTCTTGGGTAAGGAAAATATAGGAACAGGCTAGTCTCAGTGGCTCACACCTGTGGTAGGTTCACACCTACCACTCTGGGAGGCTGAGGTGGGAGGATCTCTTGAGCTCAGCAGTTAGAGACCAGCCTGAGCAAGAACAAGACTCCAACTCTACAAAAAAAATGGAAAAATTAGCTGAGCATGGTGGTGCACACCTGTAGTTCCAGTTAAGAGACTATGACGCTCTTGCACTCTAACAGGGGCAAGAAAGTGAGACTGTAGCTTAAAAAAAAAAAAAAATCAGAGACTATTATAATAACTGACATGAAAGCAGGATTCATGTTCAATTGGGCAAAATTATCTGTTGTCTATGAGGTTTCTGTTTACTTTTTCTTTAAAAAGAAAGGTACAGTGAAATGAAAATTATGTAGGTTGGAGCATTTAGCAAATGGTCAAAGAGCCCTGAGGACCTCAGTATGTGAAGGATGTTTCTAGTGTTGATAGTCAGTAAAAAATTAGTTAAATCTTTACACACAGGAAGGCATTATACATGTTAGAAATATTTCCAGGCCAGATAATTAAAAGTGTTATATCTCAAAACATTAGCAAGAAGCCAATGAGTATGAATTGAAGGAAAGCTATTCTATAACAGTAAAATATTAGAAAACTAAAATCCTAACATACATGGTTGTCTTTTATATATACATTATCATATTAAACTCCAATAGTTCTATAGATGGGCTATTCAGAATCTGAAGCTCCTTTTCTCAATGAAACAGTGTCCTAGACCTTAATTATGCTCTCACAAAAGCTTGGATGAAATGCTCTGTACAAGCAGTGAAAAATAGTAGAAAACATTACTGTAATTCTAGCATCTAAGTACAAAAGGAAAATAATAAAATTGGGTTAGAAGCACTTTCACTCATGTTGGATGCTAGTATTTGAAGAGTAGAGGACTACTGAAGAAAGAGATTAAATCTGTGGAGTTTCTGAATGAGTTATCTGGGCTTTCAAATGATTAAGACGCTGATAGCAGCAGTGTAATTTCACTTCAATACTTACAGTATTGAAACCCTCACGGTCCTGACAAGAGTAGTGCCATTTTGGGAGACATCTGGTGGGAAAAAACAGGCCGGAGACAAAACTGAATGATCACATCAACCCCCTGCCCACCCCTTGGAATGCTTCAAGGCTGGTGTTCTTGGGAAACAACAGTATCTTTTCTTCTGGTCCTGGCTGGTGGCCAAGTAACTCCTAGATTTGTTCTGAATGCAAAAATAGTCTTTCTACCTAAGGGATGACATCCTCTGGGAACTTCCTCCCACTGTTCAACCCTATTGATAAGGGATAATAAAAGCCTGTTGAAACTATGTAAGAGCTGAGCTGACTCTTGGTCAGACTCCATTCTACTCTTCAGCCTTTTCCTAAAGTCTTCCCAAACCCTGGACTGGCCTCCTCTCCTTCTTATAGACCCTTCCTCCAGACTCTACCCCTGATCCCCTCAATGTTTTTCTCTGTTCTTGGTACAGCTATTTCTCTGGATTATCGTTGATCAAATAGGCCTGATTATTTTCTTTTTTTAATTCACAGATGGAATGAAGGGGGTGAGCAGATAAAGGATAGTTTCCTAAGGCAGTAAGTGAAGAAAGAGGGATCATGGATTTCCTGAGGGATACGGAAGAAGGTAGTAAGGAATAGATGTCAGATCAGACATAGCCTTCAGCCTTAAGTCTTAGTTGCTGGTCAGCCTTTAGGGGTGGTGTGTGTGTGTGTGGGGGGGGTAGTTAGGAGGGAGAGAGAGCAGGTGGCAACTGGCCACTACACTTACAGAATATATTATAAATAATGCTCTTGTGGCTTGGCACCTGTAGCTCTGTGGCTAGGGCACCGGCCACATACACTGGGGCTGGTGGGTTTGATCCCAGCCCCGGCCTGCTAAACAACAATGACAACTACAACAAAAATAGCCGGAAGTTGTGGCAGGCACCTGTGGTCCTGGCTACTTGGGAGGCTAAGGCAGGAGGATTGCTTAAGCCCAGGAGTTTGAGGTTGCTGTGAGCTGTGACGCCAAGGCACTCTACCCAGGGAGACATAGCGAGACTCTGTTTAAAAAAAAAAAATGCTCTTGTAACTTGAGGACTACCACATTGCATATATTTCTATTCCATTTCCCCCCACTTGCCTTCCCAGTTTTGGATAACTGTGCACTTCTGCTATAGAAGCAAAAATTAACCATGGTGTCCTTTCCTGAGAAATTAAGAAAAATGTAACTCAAGGGAATTTTAAAAGGTTCCAAATAAAACAGTGATCAGATACAGTTCAGAATGTGTTTGTGAAGTGTGAATTAGCTCAACTTGGTAAACAGGGAAGGATATTAGTATAATTTCAAGTCTTGTTTCACACACAAGTTTTCTCAGCATGTTAATGTTTTGTGCCAGTTAGCAACAGAACCTGAAAGCAAAACACACCAACAAAGTGGAATTCACCAAGCTGTAGGGCAATCCAGTACTGTACACATCCACCTTTTGTCTTGTTTGCTCAGGTGGTCACATGCTTTATTTTGGAAAGGCTTATTGGCACAGTTGCCCTCATCTTTCTATACTTGCCAATGTTTAATTCAATAGTGTCATCTTTTCCACATAGCCCTTCCATCAAGCCACCTTCTCTCTCTCTCTCTCTCTTTTTTTTTTTTTTGCAGTTTTTGGCCATGGCTGGGTTTGAACCCACCACCTCCAGCATATGGGTCCAGCACTCTCTTTTGAGCCACAGGCGCTGTCCCAAGCCACCTTCTCTTTTAAGTTTTTAAGGCAAGTGTATATAGTGTGGTGTTCTTTTATTAGGAATTCAGTCTTTTTTTTTTGCAGTTTTTGGCCAAGGCAGGTTTGAACCCGCCACCTCCAGCATATGAGGCCAGCACCCTACTCCTTTGAGCCACAGGTGCCACCTGGAATTCAATCTTTTTAACTGGGCATCTTTAATAGGATTATTACTGTTTTTCTTGAAGTTCTGGTTACAAACGTACATAGTTTTGAGGAGTCTGTCCCAATCCTGTTAGGTTTGGTTTTATTTTGAGTGCTGGGGCAGGGGGCTTCCAAACTGAAATACACAACAAAAACTGGTCTAATAACTGTTCATAGGGGCTTGGGCAAGGTGGCTCACTCCTGTAATCCCAGCACTCTGGGAGGCTGAGGCGGGTGGATTGCCCTGAGTTCACAGGTTGGAGACTAGCCTGAACCAGAGCTAGACCTGATCTCTAAAAATAGCTAGGTGGTGTTGTGGGTGCTTGTAGTCCCAGCTACTAGTGAGACTGAAGCAAGAGAATCGCTTGAACCCAAGAGTTTGAGGTTGTTGTGAGCTGTGATGTCACAGCACTCTGCCGAGGATGACAAAGTGAGGCTCGGTCTCAAAAAAAAAAAAATTGCTCATAGGAAAAAAGACCTACAAGTTCCCTTTCCTCAAAGGAAAATCCAGAGGCAAAAAAAGAAAGAAAAACACTTTCCTTTAATTCCCAAGAAGGGGAAAATAAGGCAGAGATTCTGTAAATTGAGACAATTTTGGTTCTTTCAGTGATTTTCAGCATGTTTGCTGTAGACATGCCTTGAGTTCATGAGACTTTTGAAAGGTTGTATGGTGGGCATAAATTCCAAATCACATGAAAATG